TTTGTAATCTAAGATGGGTGGGGAGAAAACAGAAGCATTGACCCCAAGGATTCTAGCAAACTGGAATCACAGAAAAGCAAAGTTGTAATGACTTCTTTGACCCTCCCCCCTTTTTTTTCCTATCCTGAAACTATCATTAGACGCTAAGTTCACAAACCTCCCTCACCCTAGCAGGCTTTTAATAGACCCTTAGGGTATCCAGGCCCTTGCTGTCTTATCTCATTTCATTAATTACATTTCATGATCACTGAGGATCAGGAGGTGGAGGAGGAACCAGCGTTCAGTTTCAGGGAGCAGTGGCAATCTCAGACCGGGCAAGCGAGATGATGCCACAAAAATCAATTTGGCAGTCGGCTGTGATGCACAAATGGCTCCTGGTAACAGGCTAAGCGTGGGCCAGGTGCAGATGCAGATATAAGATGAAACAACTTGATCTCTGCGTGTGCAGGCAAGGAGGTGGGGTACCTGCAGTGGTCGCAGGGTAGCACACTATGGGTAGGGAGAAATCTCTGGGAAAATGCACCAAAACACAGAGACAATTTGGAACTCAAATGTATAGATTTTTGCGTCCTCAAAGTTGGTTTGTCAAGAACTGTGAGGCTTGGGTAAATAAAAAAGGGACTTCCTTGGGGAGTCTTGCAAAGAAGAGCAAGACCTCATTTATTTGGCAACTCCAATTGTCCAGAGCACACGGACGAGATAAGTGACCAAGAGGCCTCTGAGCTGAGTCTGCAGATGAAATAAACTCTGTGCCTCAAGGTTCATTGTTATTTAGAAGAGCACATCTCTTCACTCTTGCTTTAGGATCAAGGCTAATGAACTTGGTTATTTGATTTCCTGGTGTGGTAGATCAATTGCAAAAATGGAATCTCTCTTTCCCCAGCCCTTGAATCTAGTCTAGGCTCGTGACTTCTCTCACCCAATAAAATGCAACTGAAGTGACAGAGTGCCAGTTCTGAGCCTCAAGGGTTTTGCATGCTTCTGTTCTCTCTCTTGGAATGCTGCTATCCCCATGTGAACAAGGTCGTACTAGCCCACTGGGGGATGAGAGACCACAGGAAGTGTCCCAGCCGAGGCCATCTAAACCAATGGAACCAAACAGGTGAGAGAGCCCGGCTAAGATCAGCAGAGCTCGCTGTCCGGTCCTCAGCTGCACACAGACACATCGCTGAGCCCAGGGCAGCCTGGTGCCACGTAGACATGTAAGCAATATATTTCAAACCACTGAGTTTTAGGGTGGTTCATTTGTTACTCAGCAATGACTCACTGATACACCTGGTCTGCTATAGCGTGTAAGGAGGGTGGGCAGAGAGAAGGAAGGACCAGTGGAGACAAGCACGTTTATGTGAAGAAGAAAACAAACAAACAAATAAACCAGCAACTAAAAAGCAGGAACAGGAACTCAAAGGACAGAAGTGTCTGGGGCCCATTAAGGAAGGAGAAGCAGGCTGCAGGACCTTACAAGATCCTGACTATTGACAAAGTTTTAGAGCACAGCATAAGAATTCTGGTCTGAAGCCACCCAGAAAAATTAACCAAAATGTAATGTCCTTTCTTTAGGAAGGCGAGTGTATGAACCACATTTAAGAAAGATTTCCATTTAAAATGGATGTTAAAAGATTTCCATTTAAAAATGTTCCGGTTATTAATAAAATAAAAAAAGTTATGGTCTTAACTGTTATTTATCTGGAAAATTCATTTGTGTGTGCAGGGACAATACTTTACGAAACAAAAATTGGGTAACATCTCAGGCAGGCTTTTGTAGAGTTTCCAGGTCCAAAAGAGAGCCCAGAAAATGCAGTTTGGCTGCCATGACGCTGGCATCTCGGGGACATCTAAGCACTCCTGGGGATGATGGACAGAATATTTGAAACCGAGATGACCTGAGAAAACCTGTGCAGAAGAGTCAGCCTCTTCATGTGACTCCTCCCTCTCCCCAAAGGCACCGGACTGGTGAGACCTGCAGACTGTGGCGGCGGCTTGCAGAGATCTCCGTGTGGGAGACTGGGAAGAGAGACAGGTGATGGAAAGAACTGCATTAGCAGCCTCCCTCCTTGGCCTGCCCTTTGTTCCTCTGAGCACCAACCACCCCCATTCATTCTGTCTCAGGCACTTGAATTCTGTTCCTTTCCAAAGCACCATTAAGCGCCACACTGAAAAATAATAATAATTGTTCACATTCCTTGGGTCCATACTGAGTGCCAAGGACTGGACCAAGCTCTTGCCACGCGCCGACTCATGACCCCGGGATGTTAAGTGCTCCCACACTCTCTCCGCTAAGGAGGTGGGCACAGAGGCACTGAGGGATGAAGTGACTCGCTTCATCAGTTGAAAAACAGGAAATGGCAGAGGCGGGATGCAAACTCCTGGGGGGGGGTTGGCTCCAGACCCCTGTCCTAACCTGTCTCTTCTGCCCTTTACTTTGAAAGTTCCCTTATTCCATCCCTGCTGGGCTGGCCGCACCCTTAACCGAAGCCCAGCTCTTACCTTTTCAGAGCCAGCCCTCCTGCCTCTCCCCACTGGCAGTTCTCAAGGAACTAAGGGGGTGTGGGTCTGACTAATTGCCATTTATCACCTGGAGCAGGCACAGGAAGAGCAGGCGCGGGATGGGCTGTGTGTGCCCACCTGAGCCAGCTCAGCCTGTGCCTCTGGAAGCTTCTCCCCAGCCGCCAGGCCAGCCTCCTCCCTGCCCCACCCCCGCAGAGCTGCTGACAGGCCCGGCTCCTGGCTGCTTTATCTCCAGCTAACACCCGTCTCCTTTCCCTCCTCCTCCCTATCTGGGGCTTTCCTTGTGGCTCTAATGAAAAACCCCTGTGTCACATTGAAAAGTTGCCAGTTATTGCTGCTGGGAATAAAATCTAGCCTCTGCTGGGCAGAGACTCACAGATGCTTCTAGCTGGGCAGTGAGGAGTAGCCAGTTGGAATAATCCCCTTAGCGTGAGCAGCCTCTCAAGCACAATTAACGGGCGGGGTGTGTGTGTGTGTGTGTGTGTGTGTGTGTGTAAACAAACAAACAATAGGATGTGCCAGGCTCCCCGCCCCCACCTGGGCTTTCCCCCTTCCCGGGCCTGGGCACAGTTGCCTGGCTTCTGCCTACCTTGGGCTGAGTGGTGCGGGCTCCCCCCCACACCAAAGACAAGGCAAACTGGGTGTCCCTTCTGCTGGGAGGTCTCAGGGCATCTGAGTAGCAGGCAAGGGCTTCACCAGAGCCTCAAAAATTATCCAAAATGCGATTCCTCGGCTCTACCCCAGAAACACGGATGAGTCCCTGTGGCAGAGGCTTGGGAAGTTCCATTGTTTAACCCCTGTCCCTTACCTGGATTACCGTGCTCAGAACCATGGGACCCGAGCAACCGGACCTGAGGAAAGATGCTCCCACATAAACTGTCTCCTATAACTGCAACCCCAAAGAGCCCTTCCAAGGCCAGACACTAGCACTGCGGCACGCACACTCTCACATCATACCAGGACAGCCTCTTCTGGCCCTATATCATGGGCTATGACAAACAGAGTAGGCCATCCTGCTATGTCACTCACAGCCATTTTTTTTGAGCAAAGAGACCTAAATGGCATTTTCAGGGCCTGGTACTCTGGCCAGGAGCCCCACATTATGACGTGGAGATGTGAGGTGGCCCGGCAGCCTGCAGTGGGCTGCAAGTGGGACCCCAGAATGATCGGGATCTGAGGGTGCACTGAGCCCCGGCCACCGCAGCTTTCTGCAGCACTTGCATCAGGGACAATAGGACTGGCAGCGATTCTCAATGGGGGTGATTTTGACCACACCCAGGGGACATTTGGCCGTGTCTGGAGACATTTTTGGTTGTTACAGCTGTGGTGCTGAGCAGTTAGGAAGGTGCGAGGGGGCACCGTTGGCCTCTAGGGGGAGAGGTCAGGGATGCTGCTAAATATCCTACAATGCGCAGGACACGAAGAGCACAACAAGGAATTATCTGGCCCAGAATGTCAACTGTGCCACTATGGAGAAACCCTGGAACAGATGCAAGATGCCACCAAAGACATGAGTCCAAATCCAGGGACGCCCTTAACCTCCTGAAGGCAGAGTGTTAATTCAAGCTCTTTGTTTGGGGCTGAAGTGTTTGTAGCTTCCATTTGTTGTTATTTATCTAGAAGGTGAGGTGGCTGACACGGGGGCTGACAGAGAAAGGCTTCCAGGTTGATCCCGCAGCCAGCTCCCTGCGTGAGCCGGGCTTAAAAACTCAGTTTATCTGACGTCCAATAAATACTAAGACCCGATGTAAGCCCTTGATTCCTGCAGAAATTGGTCATCGCTGTAATGGTGGCGGATGGATGAATAAATGTTCAGTCCTGGGATGTCTGATTAGATTTATTCTGTACAGATTCCCCAGGTGGTCTCCCTTCTTCACTGAAGAGTTAAAAACAGACCATTTCGTTAATAAAATTGAGTCTCTCGTGAGTTAACAGAGTGGAACTAGCTGTTGGCGCAGACTGTAGCACAAACGCCGCTGCGGAAGCCAGGGTGGAGGGGCCAAGTGTTTTCTTTCCAGTTGATTCGATGCAGCTCAGCGGCCGGTGGCGCGTGGAAGCAAAACGCCTCCCCATGATCCAGGCCCCCCTGTTTATGTGGCCAGCTCCTTAAAGGATGCACAGAATCTCTTTCCCCCTATAAAGTGAATCTGGGCATTTTATAGCTGAAAAGTGAGCAATTCCATTTGAGTTAATTGAGAGGCTTTGAAGGCAAAAGTGCATTATGTAGATTTTAAGGACATTCTTCCTTGATTGACAAGATCCTGTGGCCACTGCCTGGAAAGCTTTAGCCACGGACCATTTCCTGACATCACTCACGGAGGTCTGTTTTCTTGGTTATGCTCCCACAGAGCCCGAGGGGTTTTTACACCTTAGTCTAAGGAGGAACCACAGTCTGACTCTTGGAATGGAACACACTTGTTAACCATAACCCTGCAACATTTCTCTCTTGTTAAGTTAGAAGAAGGCAGCAATATTATTGAGGAGAAACATACCTTTCAGCCACTTTGGACATTTTCAAACAATGTCTGTCAATCTGTGCATTCAAAAATGTAATCTGGGGAAAGAGAAAACAGGGATGTTGAGACCAAAAATAGAATTCCCTTTTTCCCTTCACTCCATGAACCCAAATCCTCTATTTCCACCAAGGTCCAAACACCTCCTCTGGCAAGACCTCGCCAACCCTCCAGCCTTGCATGTCAGCGACCTCTTTGCTCTCCGGACATTCCTACCACACTTACTATTCATAGTCCACACCTTCGCCCATGTCACATATCCTCCTGCACTGGGTCATGATGTAAGTCTTGATTTCCAAAACTTAAAGACCATGTAGATTCTACAAAGCTCAGCAACAGCACAGACAGGTAATATGTGCACCATAAACACCTGTTTTCACTAACCCCTGGTGACCTCTCCTCTGCCCACCTTTTGCATGTGCGTCACACCTGTGTGCTTGGTGTGCTCGACTGTAATCATCAAATAGCTATTGTCACCTACATCTGCTTCCTCTCCCCCAGCCAATAATAAACTTGTCCAGGGCAGGCACCTGAACGTTTATTCCTTTGCGTTTGTGCCCCCAGAAGCCAGTAAGGCACAAGATGAATAGCAGGCCCTGTGGTGCCTCGTTACCAGCACACATCAGAAGGGGGTAACATAACTGGCCATTGTCGTTGACCCGGGCTCCTGATCGCAAAGGAAAATAACATTCAACCAGATCATGCTGCAATGGCACTGGCTGTAGGGCTTTCCTTATTTTTAAACTTTCCTTGTGTATTACAGCAATAAATAAATAAAGGGTGGTCCTGAGCTGGGTTGCTGGAGAAGCAAGTTACTATTTTAAGGACCTCTCCTCTGGCTACAGAGGAAACAGCCGTAGTGGTACTGGGATAACCCAATTGTGGAACCTTGTATTCAACAACTCCATCTCCCAAGCTTCCGTGGTTGTTCACACACAACTCTCAAAGGTTTGAGTCACCCACAGCTGGGCTCCCCTGCGGTGTCCGGGAGCTCAGAGCTCACTCCGCCGTCAGGGGGAAACACTGCAAGGGCTTTTCAGCTGGCCACGTCCCCTCCCGGGCCTGCAGCTGTCAGCCCATTCACCTGTTTCCGGATGTCCTCTTTCGTGGTCTTCCTGATGGGCTGGCTGAGGACGTGCACGGGGCTCTGAGACTGGGACTCCTCAGTCACACCGTACACCGACTAGAAGAAGAAATAAGGACATGGAGTCGTCTCACCTGGGAGCTGAAAGGTGGCCTGGGGGTCAGCTGGTTCAACCACTCGTCCGATTCTTTGAATCCCCACCTGACATCTGACAGTAAGTGACTGGCCTCTGCTTCGGTTTCTTCAATGATGAGATCTCTTGAAGGAGCTCACCCCACCTTTGGGTTCCACTTAGAAAATCCTGCCTTCTATGGAGCTGAAAATGGCCTCCTGGTGTATCAGTGTTTCCCCAAGCATGGGCCACAGACCATCTGCAAAGAGCATCTGGGGGCTCTTGGGAAAGATGCACATTGCTGAGCCGACCCCAGACCTGCCAAACTGGAATCTTTGTGGGGGGGGTGGGAATCTGCACCTTTGTCAAACACCCCAGATAATTCTGAGGCCAAAGAAAGTTCAAGAACAACTGCTGAAGATGATGCAGGAAAATCCCCTCTAGATTTTCTGTGGGTCAGTGGAGGGCATGCCCATCTGGTACCAAATTGAGATGGCAGGTTTTGGGTGGTCCCTTTTAACAGCTTTCTGGCCTCGGTTTCTCGACATGTACATAGCTACAGCTAGTAACACTTTTTAAGTTGTTTCTGGTGGTATGGACAGATAAATTCCATCTTTGTTTTGGGAAAGAATTTGGGAAAGAAACAAAACCAGATAAAGTGGACGGGACTCTATGAAACTCTACAATATCAGAATTTAAGGGGCCCTTGAAGATTGAATTAGGACAATTTAAAACTAATAGTTTAAAATATAATATAATATCCCAGTGAAGAACAAAATATATAAGTAGATTCAAGAAGTTTGTATATATGTGTGTGTCATGTGTCTCTCTTGTGTGTGTGTGTGCGTGTGTGTGTGTGTATGTGTGTCTCACATACATATATGAGGGACAGATAACTGGTCATTACAAGAAATAGGAATGTTTGGGGTCCTAGCACTCCGGGAGGCCAAGGCTAGAGGATTGCTCTCCAACTTTTTGGAATTAATATTATGGAGTACGGCCACAATATTGACCTTGGCGCCATGGAGAGGTGAGACATATGGAGACATTGGCGGGCAGTCCGAGCGTGGCACTCATGGGTGTGCTATGGCCACTATGCCTTTCAGTAAAGGGAAAGACAAGTGACCACTGGGTCATTCGCTGTTGTGCAAGATGATGATTTGAATTTGGACGAACCAGCTCTCCTAGAAGATTTTCATTGGCTTCTAAGTACCAAGCTCACTTTCACCTGTGGGCTCTCCCTCTTTCTGTTCCTTTTGTTCCCTTTCCTTCCCTCTCTGCCACCTCCCCAGAGCCAGATGCTACTTCCCCTTCAGCACACCCAATCCTGCTTTCAGGAAGCCCTGGGAAGCCCCCATCTGGCTTAGCTGCCCTCCTGGGGTCCTCTACCACCCTGTCCTCCCCCTGACAGCACTCACAGCCTGCCGGCTTGTTTCACCCCTGCCAGACCGCGGGCTCGGTGGGGACCTGCCACCGTATCCCAGCGAGCACACGTCAGCCGCTCAATAAACATTTGTGGAATGAATGAATGAAATGGTCTCAAAAGACAAAATTGTGTTAGAATTACAAATAATAAATTACTGTTTGAACAGTACTAGAGTTGGGAGGGCTATTTACTTTAAGAATTTTTAGTTCAGCCAAACTAGCGAACCTTTTTAACCTTTTGCGGATTCTTCAAACGTCGACATTTTCTGATATCCATTTCTGTTGTGTTCACACAGCCTGGCTGAGAAAAAAAAAATCATCGTATAAATTACTAAGTGAAGAATTACTCTTCCAATTCAGCCCAAGTAATACCATCAGAACCGACCTTTATCTTCCCCAGTACAGATAATGCATGGTTTTTTCCCATCTTGCTGTAATATGTGTTTCTCTATGGAGTTCTCATATGAAATATGAAAGCTTACCTCATAATATCTAAGGACGATATGTAGAGGGTATAGGGCACAGTTTCTAAGAGCAAGTTTATTATTCAAATGGCAAGAATGCTTTAGCCACAGCCTTTGCTATTTTACGTACCTAACCATCAGACTCCAATGTCAGGATGGGCAGCTAATTTTTTGTTTTTGCTTTTAATCAGTTTTTAGGAAGAGTGAAATATTAATAGTTAATTCATTTTTAGTTCCATTTCATGAGGGAAATGCAAGACGTGTCTTAGTAACATGAAATTAGAAATACAATCAAACCTCATTATTTACGGATTTTGTATTTGTAAATTCGCCTACTTGCTAAAATTTATTTGTAACCCCCAAATCGGTACTCATGGCACTTTAATGACCATTTGTGAGCATTCATAGAGTGGTAACAATTTTGTTTTTTGAGGAGAAGGAAAGAGAAGTTTACTACTTAAGTGGTAAAAATTTTGAGTTCCCGGATGTGCATGTTCCCAGCAGAGGTTGGGCAACACGACCTTCTGCCTTCTGGTTTCAAACCTCATACTGTAAATCAGTCTAGTTAGGGGTTATTTAGTGCCAAGTTGCCTGCATTTTTGTGCTTTTTGCTGGTGATTTTGCTGTTTAAAATGGCCCCAAGCAGGGTGCTGAAGTGCTGTCCGCTGTCTCTCAATGCAAGAAGGCTGTGATGTGCCTAAGGAGGAAACGCACACGTAGATAAGCTTTGTTCAGGCATGAGTCCCGGTGCTGCTGGCTGTGCGCGCAATGTTAATGAATCAACAACATACACCAAATAAGCTGTCTTCACAAGAAGCATACCTTAAATAAGGTTACCTATTGATCGGTTGTGACCGGAGGCTCACAGGCACCTAACTTTGCATTTCCCCCAGGAGCAATCCTACAGTGTTCGCTAGGGCGGTGTTTGCAAAGACTTTATAGAACACCACCGCCATGAATAACAAGAATGAACTGTATTTGAAAGGGAATGTTTTAAGATTCAGAGTGGAATGACAGTGGAAATGGAAATTATTAATTTGGGGAATGGAAACTTTGGGGACCCAAAGGTCCCCTGGTGGGATCTCCATGGCTCCTCCATTTCCAACTCCATATTTTCATGGATAATTTTTAAGAGGCGGAACTGACACACATTCCAGAAAATCTACTGAGATTATATGAAGGAATGGTAAAACAATTCCACAAAGCGCAGCAATTTTCTTAAGGATGAGACACCTGGTGGCTAAAGACAGTCTTTTCTTTCGAGAGAAGGAAGCAGAAAAATTCAGAAACAAAACAAAACAAAACACTAGAGAATCAAGTAGAGCTTTCTCACCACTGGCCTGTGGACGTCCCAAAAGGCCCGTTCTTGACTATCTAAGATTTTCCTTTCTGTCTTGTCCTTTTTGCGATCAATCCTGAAATAGCGAAGAGAGGAAGTGAGAGGCTTTTGTATTCTGTTCTTTCCTTGTGACCCTTGCCCCGGCAATCTGCGCCTGCTTCTAGGAGCTAACGCACACAAGGCTGTTGGCCCCTGCGTGGCCCCTGCTCTCTGCAGAGCTGGGAAATACAGGTGTACAGTTCCCTCCAGGAAACCTCAGAAATTCCACACATGGTGAAAGAGCTTGTTTTAGCCTAGATTACAGATTGCCATATGTATGCAATGAACTTGGTGGCCTAAGGGAAGAACAAGAAAGCAGCTGTTCATCTGAAGTATTAAGATTTGGATTAGTAAGAAGTGAATTATCCATTCGATATGCGCCCCTCATCAGAGTAGATGCTGATTATAAGAAGGAACATAGCCACCACCTTGCCAGTGTTCCGTCTTCAAATTTGAAAGTTTGCTTTAGATTTAGAATCGTAGAAAGGTCTTTAAAATGCTGCAATTTATGTGTTTTAAAAGTCACTTAACCCACCTGGCTTTCTAAAGGCAGCATAATGGCCCTAACGTGCGACAAGATCCAGAAGGCAAGTATCACCGGCCTCAGCTGGGGGAGGCACAAATTGCGGGAAGAAAATTACAGGTGACAAGGACAGATTCTTTACGTTCTGATCTGCAGCACAGATAAGAGACTCTTTTTTTTTTTTTTTTTTAAAGCATGTATTACTTCATATTTTCTCTCCAAGTAAAAAGCAAATCAGATTAATTGCTGTGTAACTTCTGGTTCTTGGCTCTCTTGGGAACACTTCAGTTTACTGGACTGAAATAAAGCCATAATCACCCCCATGATTTTTGTGATAATTACTGTGTACTTAAATAGTCCACAATTATAATGTAATCACATAGTTAATCAAAAAAGTGAATCCAGAAATACCATATATGTACGAAGTGGCAGTTTCCTTTCCTTTGTATACCTTGTGATACTGTTTGATTCTGGAAGAACAAATTAGCGCTCCTCTTGGCTTCCCGGTGGCTTCTGGGTACACAGGCACAATTCTACCTTAGCCCAGCTGAGTCCCAGCCGCCGTCCCACCCACTCGCCCACCTTCCCTTTCCTCGGGTGCCTTCTGCTGCGGCTCAGCTCCCGGTGCCTGGCGTCCACCTCCCTCGGGGTGCAGAGGGCATGTCACAGCAATGGCAGCGGGCAGAACACCAGACCAGATGTCCTAGGTGTTTCCCACTGTGACCACGCTGTGATTGAGGCCCGGGTGCAGGTCCAGGGCTGCAACGCTGCCCACCACGGGATGCTCACGTGCAGGTGCTGCCCGCAGCAAAGGTACTCGCGTTCTCCCAGCTCAGCACCCCTTCCCCGCCCTCCCTGTCCCGCTCCTGTTAACAATCCCGGCTAAACCAGACGCCACCCCCAGAAAAGACAAGGGAGATCTGGACCCGAGCAGTTCTGTTTCCCAGAATTAAACAGGTCTGGTGGACACCCACGTGTGTGGCTGGGGGCCATGTATTCCCCAGCCCTCATGTGTCCTTAGAGAGGAAGGAATTTCCACTATAGATATGGGAGAAAAAAATATGGGAAAAACCCTTCCAACTTTTCTCTTCCTTTCATTGCTTGTCCTTTAGGGAGGAAAAGTGACTTAACTTATCGGTAGATTTGAAAGAAGAAATTGAGAAAGCTCAGGCTGGCCCTTTCTGGGCCCCATCTGTGTCAGCCCGCCCTCAGGACATGTGTTCTCTGCATGCAGTGAACCCACAGGGCTGCGCTCTGCCCCGGCGAGCCTACAGATGCTCACCTCTGCCCAGGACGGATGCGCTCCAAAGCCAGCCCTGTGACCTAGCCTCTAATGAATGTACTAATCTGACATGTGGGACCCCAAATGTCTGACTTCTGTGCCTTATTTTTCAGTTGGCTCGAAACCCCTCCCCTGTGGGGGAGAACAGAAGAGGGGTACTTGTTGTCCTCCCTAAAACTCCAATACGTTTTCCTATGAAGATGAAATCTGCAGTCCTCCAGATAAAGTGGGTCTGATGTTTTTCGACCATTGAGCACAGAAGGATCACTGGGACTCTCTTTGGGGAAACAGGTTCACCTTCTTATGACCAGAGTTCTGCATTTGGGAGGCTCTCCCTTGCCTGCTGAAGCACACGCTGTTGAAATTATTTCAGGGTGACCTTGATTACAAAAGATGACACTTCTCCATCCTGTCCTGAATTTCTACTCGGTCACTCTCCTGAGAGATTGGAGCGACTAACCCCAGTTGGAAACCTCACTTTGGCAATCCCACTCTCACACCATCTCCAAATTCCAGAATCTTTTTCTCTCTGAAAGGGTCTCGATTAAGTTCACCTACTTTACTTGTGCTTCTGCTTGCATAAAGATGAATTCCCACTTCCTCGCAAAGGCCCTCTGCAGTCGCGCTAAGTTTTCCTAATGAGAAATGAAAACCAACAAGAAGGCATTAATCACTGTATGCTAGCACACGCACACCTGTGCTTACTACAACGCGGCCATCCATTTGGGTTACTCTCGACAAAACAGCAGGGCCCACTTTAAATCCACTGGACATGTACCCAATTTGACTCTGCACCAGACCCTGCTGCACGGAGCTGGAGCATTCATATTAATTTGGACACCCATTAAGTCTGACGTCTGTACGGTCCACCTGATCCCTCTCTTCATGTGTGTTTTACAAGAACAGAACCCACACAGCACTTGTTATAAAGGCTGCTGGAATAGATAGAATGGTTTGTGGCGGTTGGGGAATGAACGATGGACTCCCTGCAACCTGTAGGGCATCTCTGGAGCAAAGCCAAGGCTGGATTTCTCAGGACTCATCTTCCAGCAGGGAGCTGGGAAGGTCACGGTAAAGGTGAACCAAGAGGACCTGGCTAATAGTGCTTCTTAAGTTCAAGACTAAAAAGTGGTCCAAAGGGGGTGTCTATGTTTGTGATGTTCATGAAAAGAAAAGCCAAAAACAGAAAGAAAAGCCATTAAGGGTCGCCTTTAGAGAAAAAAGCAAGTAGATTTTCTCCAAGTCTATAGAGTTTGCCTTGTGGAACTTTAGGACAGTGAGGAGGGGAGTTTGACAGGTTCCCTAATGATCCTACTAATTCAGATGGATGCAAGGCTGGAGCCCACATGATGCTGTGTATTTTCATAGAGCTCACGCCAACACTAATTGATTATCCTCATTAGTGGATTACGAATACAAAGGGAGCTTCAACTGGAGAGTGCCACACATGAACTCACAGCTATTACCAAGGCTTGGTGTGCTAGTACTTCTAAAAAACTGTCTCTGACTCTTCCACTGTTCATAGGATATATAGCTGGTAATGCCCAAATGTCAGGCAATTGAGGAGTAATATAAAGTGTGACAGTCATAGCACGGAGTTCTAGGCAGCCACTAAAAACAATAGTGTCGATTATCGTTATGGGTGTGGAAGGATTTCCAAATACCAACAGTACATGATTGGGGCAAGAAGCAGCTGTTACAGTAATGTTTATGGTCTGAGTCAATTTTTTTTTTTAGTAAAGAAAAAAATGTATATATAGAAAAAACTTGGGGCAGGGGGACAAATCACAGGTTATTTTCTCTCCTTTCTTTTGTTTTTTGAGTTTTTGTTTCTGTAAAGAGAATATATAATCATAAAATTTTAATAAAGTTACTGCATTTTGGAAACAAAATGCTTTTCTAATTCCTAGTCATTTTCATGCAGAACTTCAACTTGGGAGAACATCTTAATGCCATTTGTAAATACTAGAGCACAACGTTATGGGGCAAGAGAAGAGAAAACTGGGTAACATACAGCAGGAGTCGAGGCTGTCTTATTTCTGTATAGGATACTTTCTAAAACATGGAAAATATGGGGAAGAGAAGCACAGGATGGAGGTGCCACACGCAGTCTGGGTCTTTCCTAAAGGTCGTGTTGGGGAAGTGATGTCATCAAGTCAAAGCTGTCTGCGCTGGGTGCAGGGAGTACAACAGCACTCTTCTGAAAGGAGGGTGACGTGATTGCTGGGCATCAGAGCAGACAGGGGCAGGACTGGGCTCCCTGGACGCTCAGAGCCACAGAACAACCATGCCAGGGTTTGCTTGGGATGATCATAGTATCCAACATAGGATGTGACATGGCAAACTTCAGCCAGGTCCCGAGGCTCTGGACAAACTCCTGCACTGCACCCCCTCTACTGTGCCTGACTGTTCACAGGTCCTTGGTGCCAGCGGGATCAAAGAGAGTGGAGGGCCGTGCACGGGTGCTGCTCTCCATGGCGTGCACATTCACACTGGGGTGGCAGGGAGGGGAGCCATGGCCCTGTGGCTTGGTAAGCTTGGGCACCCAAGACAGGCAAGGCCTGGCAGAGTGGGGCCTTATGGTTGTTTTGGAAATTGAGGCGGTGAAAGTGGGAAGGACATTTGGAAAGTGAGGGCCTGAGGATGATGTTAATGCTGGGATGCCCAGGGAAGGAGTCTCCACTACTCTGATGTCAACTCCTCCTCCTCCCATGGCTGTGGGCCCATCCACCATTCCTGGCTCAACAGCACCTGCCCTGGAGCAGGGAGAGGCAAGTGGGAGGTACACCAGATTTCCCGGATTCTCTGTGACACATATAAAGTTCAGTTTTGGGGAAAATTCTGCAACCAAAAGTTAAAAATATATCTTAAATTATCTGCGAGTTTTCAAGTTCTCTGTGTTTTGGTTTC